AGCGAGCAACTCGCACCAGGTTCAGAATCAAGTGGGAAAGGCAGTGGGCGAATGAGCGTGTGGCGGCTCCGACACGCAGGCTGATCAAAGCCCTGCATAAGAGGAATCTGGACCTCTACAATGGCCTGACGAAGGCTCAGGCGGCGGTGGTGATCCAGCTCCGCAGCGAGAGGATCGGTTCGGCCCACTTCCTGTGGAAAGTCAAGGCACACGACACCGGGAAGTGTACGTGTGGGGATTACCAGCAGCGGCAGACACCAAAGCACGTGCTGCTTGAGTGTCCCAGAATCACGACAGAGAGGGGAGCCATGCAAGCGAGGATCCTCGCGGCGAGCGAGGGTAAGCTGCAACCAAGCCAGCTGACTGACTACGACACGCTCGTCTCCCACCCACAGGCGATCCGCTACGTCGCCGATTTCATAATCCAAACAGGCTTACTCGGTCAGTTCCACCACGTCGGCGTGGCCGGGGAGGACCGGGAAAGCGAAGAATATATCGGCCTACGGGCCATGGGTGTCGGCGTGGAAGACAGGGAGTAATTTGACCAAGCAGCCCGCTAGCCACGGGGAGGATCATGCAAGGAGAACCAAGCAAGGAGTGGAACTGCCCCGGCTGAGGGTATGTGGTTAGTTTGACCGTTTTTATGGCTTTTTTCGCGATTTCGAGGGTTCTGGGCGTTCCGGGTGAGTTCTAGCTTCGACGAAGCACCTACATAGCTAGCTACACTTAGGCAGGCTCAATTAGGTTAATAGAACTTGAATTGAATTGCTTGGTAGTTTGCAAATATTGTCTTTGAGTCGAACATTCATTACTCGGAGACAGTGAATTGCTGTTTTCTCATGTGTCTCTTGCACATCAATATGAAATTGGTTCCGTGTAGCCAGGAGGTACTCTCGAAATGACAGGTGTAAGATACGAACTGGTGCTTCATGATCGCTTGGTATATGGAGGACCGAATGCAAGGACTGCAATACCTCACTGGTATACTGTGTTTGCAGTTCCAGAAGAAGGGCTAGTGATTGAATTGAGAGTGGGGTAGAAAGAAGAATAATAACGCCGATAATACCCTGGAAGTCTCTGAGAAGGTCCTCTGACTCCTCCTTGTCCTTGCCCAGAAAACTTTCTAGAATAGGCAAATAGATCTTGTCCATCTGGCCTTTGCCTGTGTCTTGATATTCGAAGAACTTTTTGAGCCGCAGTTTTGAATTGTTTCCCTTTTTGTATAAACCGACACGCTGTGGCCGCAAAGATAAATAATGGAACAGCCATTTGCGCTAGCTTTTCTCTCTTTTCATTTCCCGGCCAATTCGGCGGTAGAGAGTGATCATGCTGTATCTTCGAGAGTTTGTATTCCAGAAAAACGCGAATATCATGTTTAATCACGGGCACAGGCAGCTCATGGAGAATCAGATCATAATGATTCTGGTGATAGCTAAAGCCATAGCAAATTAAAGATTCAGGTCGACTAGGCAGAAACACTCGAAGACAGACAGATTCAATATCCTGCATCTTAAACAAAAGATAAAGGATAAGCTTCAAATCACTTTCTCCGTCACATTCATCCAAGGCGCTAATAATAATTATGATTATTGGAGTTTGGTCAGGGTGCAGTTCTGTAAGTGGTTGATAAGGAAGCTTCTCAAACTGTATATTTAGAAATTTTATTATAATCGCTGAATTATTCTCAACAGCATGCAGGACCTCCTTTTTCATTTCTGGATATCCATCCACTAGTTATCTTGTAAAAGTTAATATAAAGTATTTGGAGTTACCACGATCGGCTTCACCTCACTTAAAAAAGAATATAGCACCTAGTAGTCCTTGTTCGTGAAGAGATCAAGCAATAGTCTGTATAATCATAGACTTTCCAGTCCCCGCTATTGCGTTCAACCAGAAGATAAATAGACCTTCTAATCAGGCCCACCTTAAAATTGTAAAGGGAAAAGGTCAGCTAGGTGTAGAATCAAAGTACTGGTATCGTATAGACATAGACTAATCCTTGCCTTCCTAGTATATAGCAAGGCCTGGGTATCCAAGATACAGATTCTACTAAGTCATTGACGTCACGACTATTTCATGACTAAGGCATGGGTGTTCCGTCACGGTAACCACTCGGTTGCACGGTTTACCCATGACAAAAATCTCCTTAAAAAGATCTGTTCTGGTACCTGGAAAACAAAAATCCTTACGCTGATCCGTATAAGAGTCAAAAAATACTCCTGCGAGAATCAATTTGTCCAGATAAGACTATGCAAGAAGTTGATTTATAAAATCAGCTAATACATCAATTCTGTGTAGAATATTATTCGCATCCTGTTCATGGCGAAAATAATAATCTAATAATATCCATTAATTCAACTTAATTTTTTGATCCTCGGCCACAGCCTGAAGTCTGGCAAGTAATTCCTGAAGATTATTCGTCACTGTATTAAGTACCTTTTGTCCGATGCTCGTGTTATATATTTTCTGTATCTCGGCCGCATAATATAAATAGCTTCATATAGTCTAATCAGTGCCTCTTTAATAAGCTGACTATTTATAACGGTGTTTCTATTTTTATAGAAGTTCTTTTTGACAAAAGCTCCGTAGATAAGGATTTCCGCTAGGTACTCTGATGATCTAAATAAGGCTTCGCGAGATTCGGAGTAGCTTTTCACCATCTAAAAGATTTGTAAGAGAATATATCAGTAACAGCTTCTAATATACTGAGTATAAGTCTATACTGTTAGACCAAGTAAAATGATATTCCAGACACTAGCTGTGTGCTGTGTGGGGTTGAGTGCAGCCACTGTACTTATAATATCTTTGAATAAAAGTGCTGTATGAATAATTTTTCGTGAAGCCTTGTAAAAGTTTTTATCTAGTGTTCTAGTAATACTTTTATACTTCTCCTCTGTTATTTGGATAACTTGATTGATTGAACTCTTTAAAAATTTTTTCTCGTTACTTGGATTGATCAGCTTCTTATTTATTGATAAAATATGCTGCTGTATCTTATCAAGCTAGTTATAAATAGCTTGCCACAAGTCTCGCAGCTGTGAGATCTGCGTTAACTGAATAAGCTGGTCTGCAGGCCTGTGAGGGACTGGCTGGTTAATATCAGTTATAGGATTCTCTTGGGTCTCTTTGAGTCTTAATTCGGTTATTAGCTTCTCAGTCTTTTTTCGCCGGGGAAATAGATGGTTGAAATGATTGCCAAGGCTTGACATCTTTATTAAATGCGTAAAAGACTGTTTTTCACTGAAACTTGTTGAATTTACTAGAGTTAGAAGATCTTAGGGGAAGAGCAGTGGAAGAGGAGAAAGCTGCTATCATCAGTCAATACTCGCGCTAAACTAGTGGCTGAGCTGGTATAGCTAGATGACAAGTATAACCCCTCCTCGAGTTATCCAGTCACGGCCTACTCTGCGGTGTTACTAGAAGAGGCGAGGTTTCCTGCCTCGTCTACAACCGAAGCCACATGGCATGGTATTCGTGTCAGATAATAGGCACGTACCATCACCTGCTCGGGGGTTCGATTGCTTAGTTATAATTTAGGAAGCTAGATATCTTGGTTGAGGCATTCATTGCCTCCACGCTTTAGTAACCTAGTCAACCAAATGACGTAGGTCTTGATAGTAGACAGCATGAACGGACAATTCATAATTTGAGGGATCGGATGATCTACGATTTCTTGGCGAGTCATCGCGGATTTGGTGTCGGCCCAATCCGAAGGTGAAAGTTAGGATGACAAAGGGAAACCCAAGAGACGTGGCCATCTGTTCCTGACAGTTCCACCGCTCGTTGCCCCTCTATCGGCACATTGCTATCAACCACAATCCTGCAGCATGAGTAGTACAACCTATTTCGCTCTGCTTGTTACTTTCCTGAGCCTGTCAGAAGTCCTCCTTGAATCTAACCCTATGTGCTCTGATTACTGGGAAGCTCTTGCCTTCCTGACGGTACTGGGAGAAGGAGGGGTAATCAGCCACGTGTCCTGCAAGGCTGGGTCGGCGGCCGCGATTTGCCTGGCCTCCACTACCAATCATCTATCTCAAAGCAGACTGTTCTGATTAGTCACTGCACCGGGGTGGTGCGCGGCGGCGAGGTTGCTCCTCCCAGTCAGCCGGCTGGATCGCCACGCCTCCGGGTGCTTTGCTGGCTTGACGAGGCTGTTGAAGAGCTTCAGTCGCTTCATGTACGGTGAGACTGTCAAGGCCGGTCATTTGGCAATGGCTCCTTTTCTTCTTTCTTTCTTGGCGCTCTTTTCCCTCTCGGAGCTAAGTGATTCTCGGTTTCAAAAGAGCTGTCTGATGAATCACGATCTCGCAGCCTTTTACCATATGATATAAAGCAGCCTTTATCGATGTAAACGGACTTTCGAGAACTCGCGAAGCGCCTTTTTAATCTCATGCTTCTTTAATTAAAATCAAATAATAAATTCAAAGATTTTGTCGCCTCATGTTATTAGGAATCTTTGGATCGTTGAAGCCGTATTTGGCCGGCTGGGGAGGGGGGTTGGTATGTATCACGGAGGCAGTAAACAGGCTGGCCAACCACCTCGGTAGGTAAAAAAAGACATTATTCCTGCAGCGCGAAATATACTCTGTATAGTTGCTTCTTCAGTAGCAATTGATCGAGCATCAGGATATGTATCCTAGAAATCCCCCTTATCAACTTTGTGGATTCCCGCGCGGATCAACTTCTCGACCAGCCCGCCGTACGCCCATTTGAAAAGAAGAAGCACGCAATATCCAGCGGTTGACAGATGCGCGGAGCTCGAACGTTGCCGAAGGTCTGCAGACTGGAGCGAATATGCACGACTGACTGTTTGCTGCAGGCAGCGACGTAAGCCATCTGGGATGTTGTAAGGGAACCACTCTGAATCATGTGGTGGATTAGTTCCAGTTATGCGGGTCTCAAGTTCGAAGCCATTGTGCTCATGCGGCGTCTGTTAAATGTGCTCATGCGGCGTCTGTTAAATATTCTGTAGTAACAAATGTTCATCAGCAACCGCTCTACGTGGCCTGGCGGAATGGAATTGTGAGATCCGGAGCAACTAAGCTCCGTTCCTGCCAATTGAATTCATTTTTGCACGGAAAATGTCCCATCTGGCACCACTCGGACGTGGCCGTGCCGGATATCTCTTGAGATTGACCACAGCATCTGATACTGTATACCTGGTCTTTTGCTTCTTGTTAAATTCTCAAGCCTCATTGATTTATCCTTGAGTATTACACGTCTTGAAAACTCTTACAATATACGGGAAGAATCTCGGAACCGACGACGAATCACTGAAATCATGACCCTTGTGGCTACGCACGCAATGTTTGCTTTTTGTGGTGCGGGGTAGCTGAGTGTTGTGGCCGGGGGACTTGCATATAAAGGCCTTAAGTCCAGTCTCAACTTGTGTGTCCGTTATGCACACTCTTTCAGAAACATCACTGACACCATGAATTCAACAGCATATTTTACTGGCCACAATGCTGGAATCCAGGTCGGTCAGAATCCTGGGCAGATTAACAGTCAATTTAACTACAATTATTACAACCAACAAGATGATTCAAAGGTTAGTAAGATAACCAGTACCACTGATAGAGTCAAAAATTGTATCTAGAAGATTAAAGAACTTATATTTAATGTCTATTATAGTCCATTAATCCCGAGCTTGATAAGCAGCGAATCGAGAAGGAGAAGGGTGGCCTTCTTCGAGACTCTTACCGCTGGGTGCTCGACCATGATGATTTCAAAAGCTGGAGATACACTGCAGGCAATCAGATGCTCTGGATTAAGGGTGATCCTGGCAAAGGCAAGACAATGCTAATCTGTGGTATCATCAATGAGCTTTCAGAGAAAGCTACCCAAGACAATATCAACATTGCCTACTTTTTCTGCCAAGCCACCAATGCTCGTATAAACAGTGCTACAGCGATTCTACAAGGACTTATTAGCATGCTTGGGAAGCAACAGCCTCTGCTTCAGACCCACATTCCTGCGAAGTTCTTTGGTAACGAGAATGGGTGGTTTGAACTACGCAGCGTTTTTGGGAAGATACTCCAAGATCCGGCTATTAAGAAGACCTACCTAATGATTGATGCACTGGATGAGTGTGTTACTGATCAGGATAGACTTCTTGAATTTATTGAAGAGGAATCATCAGGTCATCAACATGTGAGATGGATTGTCTCAAGTCGAAACTGGCCGAGTATCGAGAAATATCTCGATAACACAACAGGAATCAGACTTCAGCTTGAGCTGAATGAAGATAAGCTAGCTGCTGCTGTTAACTACTTCATTAAGTATAAAGTAGAGGAGTTATCAAAGAGGAACAAATACACTCTGGAAAAGAGAAAAATGGTTGAAAACCACCTGTTGCTAAATGCAAAAGGAACCTTTCTTTGGGTCGCCTTGGTTTGCAAGCAACTCAAAGATATTTCAGCAAGACACTTACAGAAAAAGCTCAAGGACTTTCCTCCTGGGCTCGATGAATTTTACCATCGAATGTTCGGCAACATTCAGGACTTGGATGATGATGTTGAGCTATGTCTGTCGTTGCTCGGAATCATCACAACTGTCTATCGTCCTATTACCTTGGATGAGCTATCATTATATCTCGAATCACAGGACGAGATTTTATACGATGATCTCCAAGAGATTGTCAAACTCTGCGGATCCTTTCTCACTCTTCAAAATCGAATAATCACGTTAGTTCATCAATCCGCGCAAGACTTTCTCCTAACACACGCATCTCAAGATATCGCTCCTCATGGGATACAAGGCATACACTATTCTATCTTTTCCAAGTCTTTAAAAAGTCTCCATGAAACATTACAACAGGATATATATAATCTCGGGGATCCCGCAGTTTCTATCATTCAGGTCAACCAGCCAGACCCAGATCCGCTGGCCACAATTCGGTATGCATGCGTGCACTGGACAGATCATCTCAAAGACTACTTTCCCAGGAAAGAGACCAGTAAGCAGATCCAGGATACTATGCTTCTCGACACCTTTCTGCGCCAGGACCTACTCCATTGGGTTGAAGCTCTTAGCTTGATCAGGATCTTGTCAGAAGGAGCCAAATCAATGATAAAGCTTGAAGAATTATTAAAGGTATATTTGCATAAGTGCTGATTGAGTTTTATTCTAACTTAATATCAGGTAAGGGCAAGAGAGACAGAATTGATCTCTAGAGTTCAAGATGCATATCGGTTTATAATACATAACAGAGTGATGATAGAAAGTTATCCACTTCAAACTTATGTTTCTGCGATATTCTTCTGCCCACAGGAGAGTATCACAAGACATCAATTTGGGCTTAAGGTCTTAGAGTGGATAAGTGGAAAAAACGTCGTGGAAGAACGCTGGAGCGCCTGCCTGCAGACCCTCGAGGGTCATAATGACTCGGTCAGGTCTATAGTCTTCTCGCATGACTCTAAAATACTGGCCTCTGCTTCCTATGACAAGACTATTAAGCTGTGGGATACTGATAGCGGCACCTGCCTGCAGACGCTTGAGGGTCATGATGCCTTGGTCTTCTCTATAGTCTTCTCACATAACTCTAAGCTGCTGGCATCTGCTTCCGGTGATAATACTGTTAAGCTGTGGGATACTGATAGCGGCGCCTGTCTGCAGACCCTCGAGGATCATGATGCCTCAGTCTGGTCTGTGGTCTTCTCGCATAACTCTAAGCTGCTAGCCTCTGCTTCCGGTGATAATACTGTTAAGCTGTGGGATACTGATAGCGGCACCTGTCTGCAGACGCTTAAGGGTCATGATGCCTGGGTCCATTGTATAGTCTTCTCGCATAACTCTAAGCTGCTAGCCTCTGCTTCCGGTGACAAGACTATTAAACTGTGGGATACTAATAGCAGTGCCTGCCTGCAGAGACTTGAGGGTCATGATGCCTCAGTCTTTTCTATAGTCTTCTCGCATGAATCTAAGCTGCTGGCATCTGCTTCCGGTGATAATACTGTTAAGCTGTGGGATACTGATAGCGGCGCCTGTCTGCAGACGCTTGAGGGTCATGATACCCCAGTCTGGTCTGTGGTTTTCTCGCATGACTCTAAGCTAATAGCCTCTGCTTCCGACGACAAGACTGTCAAGCTGTGGGACACCGGCAGCGGCACCTGCCTGCAAACGCTTGAGGGTCATGATGCCCCAGTCTGGTCTGTGGTCTTCTCGCATGACTCTAAGCTACTGGCCTCTGCTTCTAATGACAAGACTGTCAAGCTGTGGGACACCGGCAGCGGCGCCTGCCTGCAGACGCTTAAGGGTCATAATGCCCAAGTCCAGTCTGTGGTCTTCTCGCATGACTCTAAGTTACTGGCCTCTGCTTCCGGTGACAATACCGTCAAGCTGTGGGACGCCGGCAGCAGCGCCTGTCTGCAGACGGTTGAGGGCCATAATGACTGGGTCCGGTTTCTGGTCTTCTCGCATGACTCTAAGCTACTGGCCTCTGCTTCCGGTGACAAGACTGTTAAGCTGTGGGATACTGATAGCGGCACCTGTCTGCAAACCCTCAAGGGTCATAGTG